AGCTCTAAATGGACTGAATTCCAGCTAGAAGGCACAAGTTTGTTCAAATTTGCAAAAAAAAAGATCAAAGTAGTTACGGAAACCCTGAAATCTTGGAGATTGGAGTTCCGTGGGACCTCAGAATCAAAGAAAAAGAGGTGCCTTGAAGTGATCAAGGAGTTGGATGTGGCTGAGGAATCTAGTCCTCTAACAGAGGAAGATAGAAAGAGAAGAATGGAAGCAAAGATGTCCATTGACAAGCTATCTTTTAGAGATTAAGTGGAGGCAAAGGGCAAAGGTCAAATGGCTTAAGGAGGGGGACAGGAACTCCAGCTTTTTTCATAAAATGGCAAATGCAAGAATTAGATTTAATCAGCTCGAGAGATTGGAGTTTGAGGAGTTAGTGGGAGAGGTTGGGGATGAGATGAAGTTAATTGCCACCAAATACTTCTCAGAATTGTTCTAGGAAATTTGGACTAAAAGACCTTTTCCGATAGATCTCAAGTTTAGGAAGATTTCTGATTCTCAACAAAGAGAGTTGGAAGCCCCCTTACTGAGGCTGAAATATGGCATGTGATCAAGAATATGGAAGTAGATAAATCTCCAGGGCCGGATGGTCTTACAAGTCTTTTCTATAAGAAGTGCTGGGAGGTGGTGAAAGAGGATTTAATTTAAGTATTTCAAGATTTCCATCAAAATGCAGCTCTAGAAAGAAGTCTAAATTCCACTTTCATCTCCTTAATTCCTAAAGTGGAAGGGGCAACTAACATTAAAGATTTTAGACCCATCAATCTGTTAAACAGTTTCTATAAAATTCTGGCAAAGGCACTAGCAGAAAGGTTGAAAACAGTGCTGAATTCTGTGATTGCAAAGAATCAATTTGCATTTGTGCCAGGAAGGCAGATGTTAGACAATGTCCTAGTGGCAAATGAATTGATAGACTCAAGGAGAAGGGAGGGTAAAACAGGGCTGATTTGTAAGCTGGATCTTGAAAAGGCCTACAACCATGTTAACTAGAAATGTTTGGATTTAGTTTTGGAAAAAATGAATTTTGGTCAGAAATGGAGGAACTGGATCAAAGTTTGTGTTTCTTCCCCCAAATTTGTAGTGCTAGTTAATGGTGAATCGGCTGACTTCTTTAAAAGTTCTAGAGGCCTCAGACAAGGGGACCCCCTTTCCCCTCTGTTGCTCATTTGTATAATGGAAATATTGTCCCTTTTTGTTCACTGAGTTAGTGAAGAAGGGTTGTGGAAGGGATTTGAATCAGTACCAAGAGGAGAAAAGGTCCAGTTACTTCAGTTTGCAGATGACACATTGTGTTTTATTGATGCAGATCTAGATCAACTGGAGATCATGCTTGGGGTGTTGATTTGGTTTGAAGGTTAACGGGGCCAAGAGTAGAGTAATTCCAGTGGGGAAGGTTGAGAATCTTGAAGTTCTAGCAGAAGCTCTTGCTCGTCAGATTGGGTATCTTCCAACAATGAATCTAGGGCTTCCCTTGGGGGCTAAGTGCTCTTCCTCTCTAATTTGAGATCCAGTGGTGGAAAGATTGGAAAGGAAATTGACGTCCTGGAAAGCTAAATATCTCTCTTTGGGGGGTAGAATCACTCTACTGAAGAGTTCTCTGTCTAACCTCCCCTCCTACTTCCTCTCTCTCTTCCCAATTCGGCAATTCCTACCAAAGTGGCGAATAAATTAGAAAGGCTCCAAAGGTATTTCCTATGGAAGGGTTGGGAGGAGGAAAAGAAAATACACTTAGTCAGTTAGAAACAGGTGTGTACTCCAAAAGAAAGAGGTGGCTTAGGAGTGAGAAGTCTGAAAACTTTTAACAAAGCTTTAATGGGAAAATGGATCTGGAGATTTGCTAGAGAAAGAACAAGTTGGTGGAGGTCTTTAATTGCAGCCAAGTATGAAACAGATGGAGGGACTGGTTAACCACCTTGAACTTTCCTTCCTTGGGTTGCTCTCTTTGGAAGAAAATTATGGAAATCTACCCCCTGATCCAAAGTGTTCGAGTTCAGGACTCCACTTGAAGTTTTGGAAAGACAAATGGTGTAACAATAGGTCCTTTGAAGAGTTGTTTCCTCACCTGTTTCAACTTGCAGAGAATCAAGATGTAATGGTGGCAGATTGTTGTGAGCTGATTGGGAATAGTCTTGCCTGAGTCCTACGTTCAGAAGACCTTTCCAAGATTGGGAAGTGGACCAAGTGATGAATCTGTTACAATTGCTTTCTAGTCAGATTTTGAACCCCTTGGAAGAAGACTCGTGGATCTGGAAGTGGAATGCAGATGGAAGTTTCACTGTAAATTATTTTGCCAGAAGATTAGCTGGTGGAGGAATTGAAAATTTTCCTGCTGCTAGAATCTGGACTCAGATTCCTCCTCTCAAAGTGAATGCACTGCTGAGGGTGGTAGTGTTGGATAAAAACCTAACTAAACAGAATTTGGCAAAAAGAGGAATTCTGATTCAAAACATGTTTTGTGAGCTGTGTGGTCAAGCAGAGGAGGACAACAATCATCTCTTCATCCATTGCTCATTCGCGGTAGGAATTTGGAATCATTTTCTCTCTTCTGAAGGTATTTCCTGGGTCATGCCAAAACAGGCATCAGATCTGTTAAAGAGTTGGGATATGTTAGGTCTTTCAAAGCTGGCTAGAAGTGTGTGGTGGGCTATCCCTGCAGCTGTAATCAGTTCCATATGGGCAGAGAGAAACAGAAGAATTTTCAAAATAAAGAAAAGGAGGTGGACTGTCTTGTGTCTTGTGCAGTGGGAAAATTAGTGTCTTGGACTGCAGGCGTGAAAGGCTTCCATCCTTTGCTCCTTCCTGGGAGGCTTGGGGTCTCAGTTAAGGTCTATTAGTATATTTGAGTTGTAATGAAAGCTGAGAGGCTGTTCTCAGCCTTTGCTCCTTCCTGGGAGCTTCTTTGTATGGTTCTGATTTCAGTCAATAAATTCACCTTACCTTTTTCAAAAAAAAAATAAATGAGCCAAGTGCTGCACCTTGGTTAAAGTCCATCATAACTATAAAATCTGATGTCTCTCCCATAGGTGTTCTAACATTGTTTTTTTCATCATCATACATGACATATCTTTAATAAGATCTATATACCTATTTTGAACCGCTTTCTTTTTCAAGACCCACCATATTATCTCTCTAGGAACTCTATCATATACTTTCTCTAGATCAATGAAACAATATGGAGATCTCTCATTTTCTCTCTAAACTTTTCGAACAATCTTCTCAAAAGAAAGATGGCTTCCACAATTGATCTCCTTGGCATAAACCCAAATTAGTTCTTTGATATACTTGTTTCATATCATATTCTTTGCTCAATTATTCTCTCCCAAAGTTTCATGGTATGGCTCATGAGCTTAATCCCTCGTTAGTTATTATAGTTTTCCTCATTTATTCTCATTTCTTTCATGATATACCGATACTTTCACAAGCCTTGGCTATTGTTCTTTAACCAACCCACTACTACCAAGGAGTCATCTTCCATCACTATATTCCTATAACCAAAGGATCTGCCCAGTCTCAGCCCCTGTAATACAGCTAGCAGCTTAACTCTTGTTGAGTCCCCAAACCCTATGGAACCTAGATTTCAGTCTCAGACCTTGCTTCCCTTGTGCACCTCCACATTATCCTCCCTCTCTTGTATTGAATGGTGAAAAAAGAAGTATTAAAGAAGTGATCTACATCTCCTAGTGGAGACCACCTACAACTAAAGACTGAAAACCCCACTCCCCAAATATTAGATACAAAGAGTCAGTATATTAGTAAGTGGAAGGTAGTTTTCAGCTAACATTACAAAGAAAACACATATAAGGTGGTAAACACCAGTTAGGTCTTCTTTTATAACAGATCTTACAGGTGTTCCTTTTAAAATGATTTGCCTCCGAATAAAAAAGAATTTTTTTAAGTGGTATTGGTCCACTATGATGATTGGGACATTAGCTCCTTACTAAAGTTTTAGTGTTGCCATCAACAATCAAATTATAGTTTAAAGTTGCTAAAAGTTGAAAAAATATAATATGTGGAATCTATTGCATTAAGAGTTTTGACCACTCAGTCAAGTTGTCATAAGAACAGGTTGACTTCCTGGTGACTGCACAGCATCAAGGTCTAACAGCTGCCCCTTGACTTGACTATCTTAAGTAACTAGGAAAATTTTGCAATTTAATATTCAGGTTATTAAACTCTAGTTACATCCAGCATATCATGGTTCAAATAAGAGCTCCAATACCAATAGAGAGAGAGAGTAACAACAAGGTAGCATTCCCGGTGTGGACAGAAACTGTTTGAAAGTTCGTAATAATGCAGCATCTTGTGAAAATAGTGATGCAAATGCAGGATATAGCATGTTGAATGTGTGGAGAGGTGGAGGAAATAGTAAACCATCAATTTTCTCCACTGTGGTATCTGGTCAGTCTTGTTGACACATTTTTTGGAGAATGTTGGAGTTTATGTGGTGTTCTCCAGCATTTTTTTTTTTTTTGGTTGATGAATATGGTGTTCTCCAGCATTGGTTGAGGACCTTTTCTTTTCTTGGCAGATCAAGGGATTAGGCAATAAAAGAAAGCTAAAATGGGGACTGCTTCAACATGCTACTATAGCTCATATGTTCTAAGAGAAATGCACGAGTATTTGCAAACAAGAGCAAACGTTCAGAAGATATTCGAAGGAAAGCAGATGCCACCATTCACAGTTTGTTTTAAATCAAACCCCTTTGTGTGGACAGCTTGGTTAACACATCATGCTTTTTTGTCTTGAACTTTCACTGATTGCCAGTTTATAATCTCTTCTATATATAGGCACTTGTATTTACAGGGATGAAACATATTACCCTTCACTATTAAAAATGAAAAACGGAGTCAAACAAAGCACCTAGTAGAATACACGAATTAAGACAACCCCACAGTAAATATAAATATTATCCTCATAAGGCATTCTAAATGTCAATAAAGTGCACAGAAACATCAGAAAAGAATATATCAAGTGCTGTTATTTCTGTCTCTCACCTAGCTGAAGCAGCTCTTTGCTCATGGAAGTCAAATGTGTGAACATGACCAGTTGGAGCCACAGCCCTTGCAAGTGAGGTGGTTAGGGAACCACTACCAGTACCCGATTCAAGAACCAAACAACCAGGAATAACTTCCAAGTATGAGATCACAAAACTGATATCTGCAATATATAGAATCTGAGTCCTGTGACTTAGAACCAGAGTCCAAAGCTCAGGAGTGGGAGCTAACAGGTAAATAAATCCACCCTTGTTGCTGAAAACCTTGGACCCGAAAGACTTCCCAATCCAATCAGCATGTTTAAATACACCAAACCGATTCTGAAGCTCTGAACCCTCGTGTACTTTTACAGCCTTCATGCTGTCGTGCCTTTCATACACAATGGCCAAATCTCCATCACAGATTCGGCGCTGAAAAGAAATCTTTTTTCCAGGATCCATTGACAACATCCTTGCAATTTCTCACACACTATTATTCAGTTCCCTGCTCAATGAGTTTGTCAATAAAGTAAGAAACAACTGTTGAAAAACCAGGAACTCTCAATAAACAAAAGAAAAGGAAGGAGGTGATGCCCTGTTTCGTACATTTTAAGAAGAATAAGAATGAAACTTACCAGAGCTGGAAGACGGACAGACTTAAGTGAGGTTGATCTCCTCTGGTTGCCAACTTGTTCGTCAGACACAGTCCTCTCTTCTCTCTGATTATCGAACACTCGAAAGTTCTCCCCTGCGCCCCCACATTCACAGTTTCGCTCAACTCTATTCTAAACTTTTTTTGAGAATACTACAGAATGCAGACTACAGAGAGCCGCTCTATGGGCTCAACTTTCAAATACCCATGTGTATAGTGTAAATCGGGCCGTGCCGCCTACGACCCGTATCGGGTTCAGATTTACAAGGCCGATATGGCACGTCAGGACAAAGTTTTTATACATATATATATATATATTAATTTTATTATACTATTTTATTCTAATTGTATTGCAATTTTTAATTTCATTGTATTATTTTACAATACATCAAAATCATATAAAATAAAATATTAAGATTTTTTAATTTTTGTCTATTTTGTTAATTTATTTTAAATTCTTCATTATTTTTTCAATTTCTTTTTAAAAAAAATATGCCTTTCATGGCCTAGCCCAAGGCCTAGCATGCAGCCCAACTTGGCCCAAGGTCTGGCCTATAGCACAGCATGGCCCAACCCAGGCATGCCGAGGCTCATGCCATGGGTTGTGCCAGGCCTAACCTATTAAGGACCCCAAAGGAGGCAGGCATGGCCCACATAGGCCCATGGGCCAACACAGCATGGCCCGCTAAAGCAGAAGCAGCCTATAAAGTTGTGTCATGCAAGCCTAACACAACCCGATTTACACCTCTATCTATAACACATCCCAAGTATGCATTGAGAACATCTCTGCAAGACGAGTATAGTAGATGTTCTCAAAGCACGCTGAGATGTGCATCAGAGCATGAGCCAATATGAATTCTCAACTTTTACTCGGACAAGTTTCCTATACTTTCAAGAAGGGTAAATCTTCCTATACTTTGGGGCTAGTCTCATACTAGTACCCAAATTTCAAAAACATGCCACTATAGTACCTGAACTTCCAAAAGCTACCAATTTAACCCCTAATGTTAGCAGTCCATCAGTTATCTATATCACATGATGACATGTGCGACTTAAAACTTTAAAAATATCAAAATTATCCTTTAAAAAAAGACATTGTTCATCGTGTTCTATGTTGAGATTAAATGGTTGATTCCAATTTTGACAACATTCCAAATAGAAATGATATTGGGTTGGATATATGGGTGTTATCTAATCTATTTTCACAAATAGAAATGATGCTAATGTGTCTTGTGGAGACAGTTTTTCTCCTTGTATTTTTACTGAAATATATAAGAAGGTATAAGCAAGGTTCAAAATTTTGACACGATCGGCCGTATAGTATCATATCTTTTGGATCTCGATACACCTATTTACAGGTGTTTTGGAACCCCTTTATTTTAATAAAAAAAAACATGCCCAAAAATCAAGTTTTGAAAAAAATAAAAAATAAAAAGAAAACATAACGCGTTGATGCACCTCTGCCTATACACAGAGGCGTAGTGATATTTTGAACCTTTCGTATAAGTTCATTTACATGTTTGCTGAAATGAATTAGTCAATTGCCCAAGATGATAAAAGCAAGCTCATTAAGTTTGGTGCTTTTGTTACAAAGGGGACTCTTTCCATGCCAACCTGTGAAGCCCATCAATAATAGCTCTACAAAATTCATCATTTTGGAGGATAAAGGATGACACATGACCTCCTGTCACCCATCTCACTCTTAAATCCAACCAAGCTCTTTGCAGCTCTAGCGTTGAGTGCTTTGATATGTATCTGTGAGTGTGGTGGTAAGGCTACGTACAGAGGTCTCCTTGAAAGATGAAGGAAGATTGAGGGCAAAGAGTAGGCTAAAGGCTCTAATTGATAGAATGTTGTTCTCGTTACAAGTCAGGCCTCCTTTTATAAGAAGAGATCATGAGGTCCCAAAAGGAAGGAGCCAAAAGAAATTTATTCCCACTAGGGAATGAAATCTTTGATTCGATGTCAGTTGTCAAGAGACACTTCTAAAGTTTCGCCACGTGTCTTATGAGATCTCTCTAGGATGAGGTACTTATTGACATTTATTCAAAATGAATAAAGTACACAATTAATTCATGTTATTTTGGTAATGTTTCTGTATAATACCCTTAAATTGGACACTTATGAGACTCGTGTTAGTTTAGAATATTCACAACTGTAGGATAGATCTGGGAAGATTTATCCTGCCAAGGCTGACACTGATGTGCCGCCAAGTGGGTTGGGTGGCTTATCTCAGCTGCTAGAGTGAGACCTGAGGTACATGTAGTGTGAGTTTTCTTGAAACCCTTAATTGGACCAAATTCCAGTATTGCCCTAGACCTTGGAGACAGATGGCAAAACTAGAATGTTATACCTGACCCCTAGACTCGATTATGATACTGCACTAGGTGTCGGATTGGGTTGTCTTTGATATGCCAATCAGTGAGATCCTTAGTGGGGGTCAAAACTTAGGTATGTTGGGACAATCTGAGAATTCACCTGAATGGGTGATCATAGTGACAGGATCAGCCCCTTTGTCGGACAAGGTGAATGATCGGGGAATGCACTCTCTCTGATGAAAACCTAAATTACCGGTAGTTGATTTCAAAGTGTTGTGATTTGTTTTGCAAAATATATTTATATAGAGATATGCATATATATCATGGTTTCACAAAATGTTTCCAAAAGGTTTTAATTCCCGAGATCCATGTGAGTAGAGAGTGCAACATTGTACCTTGCAACTGAGGGAGAGGTCCTCTCTTATCGGGCAATGTTTGATCATTATGGGTTGAGAGGTTAAGTGTAAGACCATTAACGGTAATACCTGATGGGATAATCTTGCATCTGCCCATAGTCCTGGGGCTTTCATAAGGTGGTTGAACCCAGGGACCATGTTGGGCCCATTAAGAGCCCATACTGATGGACTCAGGGGTTCACTATGTTTAGTAGTGAATTCAGCCAGGCCTTATAACAGAGGCTGGGCTGAACCATATGGCTAATGTGTATCAATTCTAGGGTCCCACAGCATACAAAGAGGGCCAAGCTAACCAGCACTTAAAGGGAAAATGAGCTATATGACTAAATGGGCCTAAAGCCCATTTTGAACAGGGCTTAAGTGAGCTAATTAAAAGGGGGCGAATTTTAATTTATAATATGATCAGGATTAGCTAAAGGATAAGATAAGTCTTATCCATTTAAGAGTTCAGATCCAAATATCATATTTGGATCAAGAAACTATTATGAAGTAGATCCAAAGAAGACTATAAATTGGGGGCGAATTTACCAATTTATGCACTCAACAATTTGTAGAATTATCCTCTAGTTCTTGCTGCCCCTACCCAGTTCGATTTCCACTTTTGGATATGATCAAGAATAGTTCTTGATATTGTTTCTTTCTAGAAGAAACAATCTAAAGTCATGCTCACCAGCCCTTTGCATGATTCTTGCTTAAGAATTAGGGTTCTTGCCGAAGAACCACTTTGTTGATCCTGCCTCACCATAAGTTGTGCCATATTCAGTGGAAGAAGGTTTTGATCACCTCTTTGGGCGTAAACACCTACGTTGAGAGTTACTGTTATTCCGTATCAGGTACATCCCTACTTACTTCCTTTTGATTTCAGATTTGGCCTGGTTTGTTTCAAGAATGAACATTGAAAATGCAGTTTTCTAAATTAGGGAATAGGATTCCCGAATGGGAGAAATAAATTTTTGAAAATTTGCCCAGCCACCCTGCATGGTTCAGCCATCCATATGATGGATCTCCCATCCCTTCAGTGATATCAGAGCCAAGTTTAATTCTTGAACCAAATCAGACCTTATTTGAACCTGCGCAAATGGGCAGAATCAGTTCTACCCGATTTGCACAAATTAACATTTTTCTGAGAATTCAGTTCTCAGTAATGGGGTGTATGATCTGAAAATTAATTTTTATTATTCTGATTTAATTATGGAATGGTTCTGTGATTATTTCGTAGATGTGTGGGCTGTATGTGTGATGGAAATCAAAATCTTTAATGGTACTAAGATTTGTGCACCCTGCATTTTTCTATTCTATTATTTTGGTCTGTAAATAATTTTTTTTTAATTTTTAGACAAAATGTATAGGATTTGATCTGATGTAATTAATAGAAAATTGGGGTTTTCTTTTTCTTTTACATTGGAAGAAGTGCTGATTCACATGGAGGAGAAGAAGACATTTCACATATACAAGATCAGCAATCTGCGTTTTGCAGATACTGAATTTGCTACTTGCGATTAACCTTTGTTTTGCAGGTTTGTAGATTTTCCAAGAACATCACATTACAATCCTCTGATTTATTTTCTTGCTGATCTTGATTGTCTTTTTTGACTGTAATTAATTTTTCAGATCATGTTCTTTAAATTGCATATTGTTTTGGACACCAAACCCTAGGCCGAATTTGACCTAGGTTTGGTCCAATCTGATTGAACCAAACCATGGTTCGATGGGGTTAGTTTTCTGATCCAAATTCGGTTATGGGCCAGGGGTTTGATGTCCCATCACAAGATGCAATTCGGCCCACCCCTGTGAAACCCAATTTTAGTGAATTAAAATTGCTTTAGCCCATTTTCAGCATATTTGCTATATGGGCTAATATACCTAGATAATGTTATTTGATAATATTATGGGCTATAATGGGCTGATAATGTTTTAATTAATTAGGGTTTTGCAGATGATTTAATTGATTAGATCAATTATGTGATTGTTTCATGCATGTAATGTATGATGTGTGATGTGCTACGGACATGGGCCATAAGCACTTGGCACATGTTAAGTCGATAGTGGCTCTTTCACACACCATGGATGAATGCACATCATTGCCATGGTGTCCTTAAGATCATTAGATAATCTCTCTTCTTGAGGGGCTCCACATTAACTTCATCTCCAAGAGGACCCATGCAAAACCCTAGCCTGTTTAGGGCCCATCTAAATCTGACTTTGAGAAAGTCAGTGGAAGCCACTTTGGTTTGACCTAAATAAGAACTAGGGCATAATTACTCGTTCCTTCCATCAAAATATTAGTCCATGTGATAGGGAGATTCATATGATGAACTCTCTAAAGGCCTTCCATCATTAGAATGAAGATGGGCTTATCAGTAACAAGGAGATGCACCATAAAATTGGGCTATCCATTTGCTGGTGAGTCTGTTGGATTGTTTCAT